TGCCCCCCCCCCCCAGCACCACAGAGTGTGTGAAGCACACTCACAAGTACACCCACTGCCACACAGACACAGCGTGCTCACACCTGCACACACACACAGACACACAGATGCCTGCACGCAGCAGCCCGGTGTGTCCTCCCTCCCATCGCACGGGTCACCCTCAGCACACACGAGGGCTCAGTCCGGGAGGTGCCCTGGGCAGTCTGTGTGCTCTCCTGCGTGTGCTCTGGGTGCTGAGCCCAGCTCACCAGCCCCATTCCCCCCACTGCGGGCCATCAGGTGGGCACACAGGGGGGTACAAACCCACCCCCACCTCCCACTCACCCGTGCGGATGTGAACAGTGTACTCGGGCCCACGCGTAGATATGAACATGCACCAAAATGTCATGAATGCTCACACCACAGAGAATCACACACCCCCACGCACACAGAAAGGCAGGCGTGCACCCAGGCACACGCAGTGACAGCGAGGGGGAGGGAGCTGGAGGGGCCAGAGGAGCAGAGCAGAGCAGAGCTGACGTTCTCAGCTTGGCTTCCCGACATGGGGACGGAGGATGGCTGGAGTCACCCCTGGGGACACTGGCAGGAGCCGCAGCGTGGGCTCTTTTACACCCGCTGCCCAGCAGGGAGAAGGCTCAGTCAGGTCTCTTGCTGAGCGGAGGCTCCATTTTAGCAACCCGGCTTGTTTTGGGGGACATTTACCTTGTCCCCACGGCAAACCCCACAGAACGCCCAGCCAGCGCAGGGCTGCAGGCGCCGGCATGTCCCTGCGTGAGTGGCGAGACATGGGGGGGCAGTGAAGCCAGGGTGCAGAGGGGGCTGGGGGTGGCCACTCTGTCCCAACATGTGGGGATTCTGCCAGCCCCACAGCCCCGGCGTGGGGCACAGCCACCCTCGGTCCCCGCTCGCTGCCGCTGTGCCCGAGCAGGGGGCTGCGGGGCAGAGGAGGGGCTGGGAGCCCGTGCGTGCAAAATGGCTCCTGCCAGTCAGCTGCTGTGCAGCACAGCACAGCCCTCACCCCCACACAGCCCCCAGCCTCTCCCCCCAGTGCCTGGTCCTGCCCCCAGGCCCTTGCTCCAGCCCTGCTGGGTGCAGATCCTTGCCCACCCCTCCTGTCACCGGGCACCTCTGTGCAAGGCACTCTCCTCCTCTTGCCTCCCCAGGTGACCTCTCCAAACCCTTTCCTGGTAATTCCTCCCTTCTCCCATCACAGGGTCTCCAACCCCTGCCCTGGCTCACCCTGCACCCTCAGCTTCCTCCCACCTAATGCCAGGCAGGACCTTCCCTTCTTCCCACCCCACGGAGTCTCCAGGTCTCCTTCCCCAGACATGCCTCATCCTCCCCTGCCGTCCTCGTCCAGCCTGGGCGGGCGCAGAGCACTTCCCAGGGCTCGGGCAGATGCTTGGAGGAGGAAGAAGTGTCATTTCCTCCCAGACATCAAAGTCCTTGCACTGTTTCACCCTAGCTGGAGTTCTGTCACCAGCTGGGAACATTCCTTGTGTGGAGAAAGGGCATTAGTGTAACAAAGGATCCCCCAGGGATTACCCAGCTCCTTCCTCTCCATTTGACACAAAATAGGATCCTGCTGGAGACCAAAATCCCAGCGCTGTAATAACAGCAGGATCTTGCTGAGATCCTCCTTCCCCATTTCGGTGTCACCCAGACCCCTGTGCCCCATCACCCCGGCGTGCTGGGGGCAGATCCCGGCTCCTGCCCCTCACCCTCCCTCCGGCTTCCTCATTTCCCTGTGCTCTGGGAGCCAGACAGCTGATCTGCTCTGTGGCTCTGTGCTCCTTCTCCTGCTCTGAGTCCCAGCTGACCACTTTGCTTGTAATAGTCCTCGGAGGGGAATTACAACCGAGTATTAAATGTGTGGTTAAAGAAATCGCATTACACAGTGTGACTGTAAGGGAGATGTTTCCCTTTAATCTGTAATCCATGGAAGTTATTAGTTTAGCGAGCGGAGCGGCTGGGCACGGCGTTTCCATTAAGATATAACCCCGAGCAGACCCATCACCTCCGTGGGGGCTGCAGCCTGAGCCATGGCACAGCACCCCTCGCCCCCCAGCACGGTCCTTGCTGTGCTGCTCCCCGTTATTTGAATGCCATTATCATGTTAACGTGGGGCTGTTTAACATTGCAGAAAAGAAAAGGGGGAAAAAAAAAATAATCACTCTCGGTGGCTGATGTGCTCCTGTGAAATAATGTTTGTGTCGTGTATCCTGTCCTACAGGTCTATGCAATATTAGTTAGTCACCCTCCTGCTCCCAACGATCACCTAACACCAACACCCGTATCATACACAGCTGGCTTCTACAGGATCCCTGTCATTGGTCTGACAACACGCATGTCTATATATTCTGATAAGGTAACTGATGCATGTTTCTAGTCTAGTACATCATACGTGTGGTGTAAATCAAGATTCCCCATCAGGAGAGCTAATGATGTCTACACTGCCCTGCCTATCTATGTGTCTGTCTGTCCATCCGTAGCCCACGGTTAAACCCGCAGCTCCCTCTCTCTCTCTCCCCCGCATTCCCCGGTACATGATTTTTTCGCAGCTGCCAGTGTTGACCTACATAGTGCTGGATGGTTTCTGCGGCGCTGCTCTGCCAGGCTGCTGGGCTTGCTGCTCCTCAGCCACGGCAAACGCAGGACCCGGCTTCTGCCCTGCTCCCCAGGGACAGCCGGGAGGTCCTGGGTGCTCCCAGGGTGTGGGGGGACCTGCGGAGGGGCAGGAGGGTCCGAGTGGAGCCTGCACATCGGGCAGGAGCTCTCTGGGGCTTGAAGGCTGTTTGGCTGCGTTCAGTTCTCTGGGTTTATGCGGTATTGGTGGGGGAGGGAACAGAATCGATTAATAAGTTATCCCAAGGCTTTAAATGACATCCGGTCTGAGCAGCACTCAAGAAGGAGGTTCAGATTCCAGTGTCTCAAACCGCTGTCTGCTGTCCCCGGGGAAACATGGGGACTTTCAGGCTGGATGAGGTCCTGCTCCGTGCAGTGACTGGGGCAATGCCCTCACCTGGCCGATGAGGTGCTGCCATGGCTGGCTCTTCCCCAGGCCCTCAGCTCACAGACCATCTGGCAAAGACACTTTGTGATGAGTTATAGCAAAAGGAGGAGCTGAGCGGAGCCCGGCCGACCACACGCCATTGCAGCCTTGGTGGAGGCTTTTGTCCTGGTGCAGGAGTTAGTGGGTGAGATCAGGCCTGTTTCGAAGCATGAAGCGGCCTTTGTGTGGAAAATGTGAATATTCACAAATGCAAATGTTCAGTGCAAAAATAGTCACCCCGCCTACGTGCTAAATGAAGTCAAATTTCAGGAGGGAGGAGCAGAGCTCCCAGGGATGCAGCCACGGGACTGCTCGGCCGGAGCAGTGGCAGGTCTGGGCATCTCCCACCAGGTAAAATCACAGTAGGACAGCCAGCAAGCCAAGAGCATGGCGGGGACAGCACTGGGGGCTGGCGGGGGCTGGGGACCCCCACGCCCCGGTAGGGTCCCGTCAGGCACTGTTAGAAGGAAAGGGATGGAGACAGAGCTGGCAGATGGCAGGAGAGGGCAGGCAGCAGGTAGGAAATGTGTGTGGGAATTTGGTTTGAGCTGCCGTGGGGAGGGGATAGGTCTGGTCAGCAATGTCACTGAGAGGGGCCGTGTCACACTGCACATGGCAGTGGGGAGACCCTGCGCGCCATCGGTCCAGCTTCATCTCAGCAGGGGCATGCTCACCGAGGCAAATTGTCCGCCTTTTCCACAGCATGACCTTGTGCTGAATTTGCGTGTTCACCCTGAGGGGATGGAGCTTCCCTGCCAGACTCTGCTTCAGCCATATTATTTTTTTTCCCTATATAAAACATGTTCTCTGCAAAAGTGGCTTGTAAAAACCGTCTGGATCGCTTCAGAACCGGAGAAGTGACCCACTGAGGCAGTGGCAACCCACTGCAGTGGCAGGGAGATGCTCCCCACTGAATATCTGGGGGTGCTGGGCAGGTGCAGGGCTGTGGGGTGCTCTCTCCTGGCAGAAACTCATCAGTGTGACCACGCCGTGTGTCTCACCCCTCCAAGTGCTTCTGCCCGGTCTCTCACTCAGCCTCCTTCCCACAAAGCAGCCGGTAGCTCCAAGGCTTTGAAATCTCTGCAGAGAGGGTAGTTGCAGGCAGGGGATGTGGCAAAGGCAGGGACTGGGTGGGTAGAGGAGCTAGGACATTGAATAATGGACTGGCAGGAGCCAGAGGGGACAGCAAAGGTGGGAGGGCAGTGAAGGACAGCAGAGCAAAGGGGTGTGAAGGGGTGGGACAGGACTGTGCAAGGCTCTGCACACAGCAGGACAGCCCGGTGCAACACAGGGACAGTCAGCTGGTTCCCTTTTTGGTTTCCACTGATGAGCTTACTGGGGTTTTTTTGGTCTTTTTTTCTTTTAAATTCAGGAAATTATATCTTTCAGCTTAGTTTCTATGGAAACAAGCTTGTAAGATCACTTTGTGTGTGTACCCCTGGTTGGTTTTGAAGGCATCAGCCAATTTTAGCTAAATTTCACAGGGGGTTGAAGTCTCAGAGTTAATTATGGTCCTCCCAAAGCTAAGCTGCCAGGGAGAGGAAAGGCGTGGGCCTCAGCTCAGACAGGTTTGCCTGGTACCTTTTGGTGCTCTCGAAGCATCTCCAGTTGGGCACAGCAGTCCACGAGCTGTAACCAGTCTTTCAGCAAAGATACCCAAGAGAAGCAAAGTTTTATTGCTCCCAGTATTCAAAGAGCTCTTTGTTCTAGAAATGGTATGGGAGCAATCAAGCTGAGTGCTCTGCCTTGGCAGCCTTTGTTTGGCCTCCTTGTAGGTAGATCTTATGAAATGATTACCTTTTTCTTCACAAAGGTCTTCACATCATTCATCATAGTCCTGCCTGTCCGGTGACGGGGTCTCCGAAATCCCGGTCACCGCTGCGCGAGGTGAGCAGGGAATTGGGAGGAGAGGAAAGGCAGCACCGATGGCCGTGGTGTCCATCACTATGGAGAGACCTTCAGGGACTCCTGATGGACTGAGCATCGCAAAAATCATGCTCTGACCTTCTCATGCTGAGCTCCCTGAACGGACAGTCTGGACTATTGCTTTTGTGCTTCTGTTCCCCATGTGTCACTGGGGGTATTTATATCTCCTTTGCATCTCAGCCAAAAAGATGAGATGACGTTGATGTCTTGACCATATGAGAAACATGAAATGACACTGAGAGCGTGAGAGCAAAGCTCACGGGGAAATGATCTGGTGCCATTTGTCACCACCGTGTGGGACCAGACCTACGTGATGGGGATGAAGGGACTTGCTGGGCACCCCGAGGTGCTGAGCCCCACACCATCCCCCCATCAGAGGGGCAGAGCAGGATCTGGGGTGGCTGAGACCT